AATAATAAAGAAGCTTAGTTTATAATTATAATTATAGTAAACTAACTTAAAGCTTTTTATACCTATATTTAGGTTATAAAACTTAATAAGCTAGTCTTTCTCCTTATAAATAACTTCTCTATATATATTATTATAGTTAAACTTATATTACTACTACCTACTCTCTAGATTAAGTTTCTTTCGCTTAATATAATATTAATCTTCTAACCTATAGATTAAAGTATTATTAATAGTTTTAAGAGTTACTATAAATATAATTACTTAGCTTAAATTACTACTATCCTTAAGAGGAATATTTATACTAATCCTATTAAAGAGATAGATCTCTAAATTACTCTTTATTAAGTAATAAACTATTTCTTTCACCTTTTTAAACTAGAGATAATTAGAATATCCTAAGTAAAATTAATATTTATAGGTAGAAAACTATTACTTTAGAGCGCTTAATTAAATAATCTTAGTAATTTAATATAGCTATTTACTTATATAGTATTACTAATAGGATCTAATAAGATATTAAGTAAGTTTCTATATCTAAAAAGTAAAAACTTCCTACTTAAAGAGCTTAAGGCTATAAAGGAAGAACTTAAAGTTATAAGGATTAAATATTATAAATTTATTACGCCTAATATACTTAATAAATACTTTAAGGAGTTAAGTATATATATAGATAGTAAATAGGTTACTTTAGCTATTATATATCTTAAGGAGGTAGTTTATAATATTATTAACTTTTTAAACTTTATAGAGGAGAAGGACTATATTTTATAAGAAGATATAGATACCTTTAGAAAGCTTAAGTTAAGGTTATTTTAATATTAAAAAGAGGAGGGTAATTTAAGTATAATTACTAAGTATAAGGGAACTATAATAGATATATAGATATAAAAAGAGGTAAGCTTTTTATAATAGTTATATTATAATAATTATATTATAATAATCTCTTATAATCTTAAAACTACTTAGTATTAAAAATATATTAATTATTATATCTTTCTTTCTATAATATATTAAAAATTCTACTTTATACTTTTCTATAAATATTCCTTTTATTACTATTAAGTTTTATTTATCTACTCTATCTATCTAAGAGAAAAGAGAAACTAAATACTTAAAATATTACCTTATTATTAAATTAATTTTATACTTTAGAGTACTAATTTATAAATACTAATATTTAGAGCTAAAGAAGTATTAAAGCTAGCTTATACTTATAGAAGTACTAAACTATATTTAGAACTTCTATATTAGTAGTATAAATCTAATTAATATTATACTAAATTTTAGTAAAACTAAGAAGTTTAACTTAATTCTTTTTTATATTATTTCTAACCTCACTAAGAATATCTTAGATCTATTTCTATATTAATATATAAAATAGGAATTACTAGCTATAGGTATAGTTTATAATAAGATAACTTTTTAAAACTTATATATACTTAGTCCTAAGATTTTATTAACTTAAAAATCTCTTATTAGGTTTTATATTCTTATATATCTTCTCTTAAGTATCTTATTATTTCTATTTCTATATTTAGTATACTTTCTATAAAACCTTTTTTTTCTTTTTACTAATTATTATAATACTAAACTTCTAAAGGACTAAGAGAAGGAATATTTCTTTAAGTATAAAGAAATCCTATATTTATAGAAAAATCCTATTTAGCTTTATAATATTAGCTTCTTTAAAAATCTCCTATATTTTCTCTAAGAATTAGTAGAAATATAATAGCTTTAGCTAAAGTAAGTTAAGTGTTATAAGCTATATTACTTAGAATTATTAGTAACTAATAACTAAAGTTTACTATAAGACCTTAATAAGAATACTTAAAAAAAAGAATTATAAAATACTTATATATTAAATAACTTTAAGGATAATTTTTATCTTATTCTAAAAATACTTATTTAATATATCCCTTTTATTTTATTTATTAATCTTAAAGTTAAGATTATTTATAAACTATATTAAGAGGTCTTATTTAGACTTTATTAGTTTATATAGAGGTATATCCTCTTAGCTTAGCTTATAATTATCCTTAATAATATATTTAAATTAATTATTATAGGAGTTAGTTTTTAGACCTTAGATATTTATATAGTATAAAGTAAAAGAAGATTAATAAGGGTTTATTTTAAGCTAAGTTAATACTTTATATAAGTTATTAAAAGATACTTATATTTTATACTTTAGTTTTAAAGTAAATCCTCTTAGTATCTTAAAGTTAGCTTAAACTTTAGTATTAAGTAAAGATATTAACTATAGTAGTATAATTAGAATAAGTAATATAAAGTGAAGGTTAAATTAAGCTAAGTAATAGCTATTTTCTATTCTATATTCCTATAAGTATTTTTAAAGTATTTTCTTTTAAGAGAACTTATATATCTTAATAAACTTAGACTTTTATTTATTAAATTATAGCTTCTTATTTTATTTCACTTAGGGAATCCTAATTTTAGTGTTTTTATATTATTATTTTCTTTATATATATTATCTTAGTATTTAGATACTACTTTAATTAGTAAAACTTAGCTTCTATATTAGTTATATTATAAATTTACTTTTATGCTTTTATTATATAAAGATTAATAGAATAATCTTTAGTAGCTTTTCTTTTCTTATTAGCTTTAGATCTAATTAAGTAACTTATAAGAAAGATTATTATAATAACCTTATAGATTATTATAATAATATTATAAGTATAAACTATAAATATATAGTAGTAATAATATTTCCTAAGGTATACTATATAATATAAATTAAAAATATTTTATAATAAGTATTTAGAGAGATATTTATCCTTATTTTAGATATATTTTATTTTAATTATAATAAAAAGAAAGATTAATTATAAATATAAAATTAATTTTATATAATATAGATATATAGATTATATTAGTATATTATATAATTTTTATAAAATAGGTAGCTATTACTATAGTAATAAAAGTAGGTTAGTTACTCTTACTACTTATTAGATATATATATATAACCTCTCTTTTTAATATCTACTATTTTATATATTCCTCTTTCTTTTTCCTCTATAATATATTATAACTATAATCTTATTTAATTTATTTTATAAATAGCTATATAAGTTTTATTATTTCCTTTATTTTTACTTATTTAGAATCTAATTTCTTCTAGATATTTTAAATCTATAATATCTTTACTTACTATATTATTTAGTATAAATACTACTAAAAATACACTTAAGTAGACTACTTATAAGTATAGCTATAAGACTACTATTATAGCTACTAAAAAAACTAATAAGAAGCTTACTTATAAAATCCCTATTTATATTATAAGAAAGCATATACTTACTTACTACTATAAGCTTAGATATAAGTTAGATTATTATAATTCATTTTAGTTATTATAATACTAATATCCTTTAGTTTATACTTTATAAGAAATTTATTAATACTAAGCTTTTTATAATATCTTTATCCTTAAAGCATTTTTCTAATACTTTATTAAAGAAATTATATATAATAAAGTTAGTATATTTAGTCTATCTTATTAATAAGCTATAGCTATAATAGCTCTTTAAGAAGCTACTAAGGTAACCTTAATAACTATATTTAAAAGTATATTTATCTATTTACTTTTTATTTTTTTACTAACTTATTTCTAATATCTCTATATATAGTAATTTATATTAAAAGAGTTACTATTAAACCTATAGATATTAACTTTATTAAGAAGATTTATATAATATCCTAAGGTATAAGATATTTATAGCTTAATAATATCTAAAAAAGTATTAAATTCTATTCTTATTCTATTATTTTATTTTATTTATATTTATTTAGTTTATTATAATAAAATTAAATAGAAGTAAAAAGATATTATATATACTTAATTCTACTTTATAATTTATAATACTTTAAAGCTAAATCTTATTATCCTATTTAAATAAGTAAATAAAATAATACTTTCTAAGAAAGGTAATAAAAAGGAGTAAAATATTATAAAAAAGAGAAAGAGAGCTATAATAAGAGAGGCTATAATAAAGCTAAAGAAGAAGAGAAGAACTAATTATAAAAACTTAATTTCTACTATTAGCTTTAATTATAAAAGTAATATAATTTTAAATAATACTCCTATATAGTTACTTTATACTAATAATTAGCTTAAAGATATTAAGTTTAGTAATATCTCTATTAGAAATCCTTATATTTCTAATACTACTAAAAAAAACGCTTAATATAGTAATATTTTTATAGGAAATATTAAGGCTATTAATAATCTAAAGCAAAATATTATAGCTATTAATAATTATAATAGAAACCTTAAAGCTTCTACTAACTATAAAGAAAATCTTTTTAGTAGTAATATAATAAGTAATAATAGCAGAAAAGAGGTTACTAAATATAACTATAATTTTAAGGATTTTAAGTATCTTAAAATCTTTAATAAAGAAAGTTTTAATATTAAATTAATAAATACTCTTAAAAAAGTAGTAGAGGATACTATATATTAGCTTAATATTAATAATTTAGTATTTTATAATACTCTTTAAGAGTAAATAGATAACTATTCTTAAATTAATAAAAATAAAACTAAAACTAAGACTTAATTAATAATAATAGGATAAGATAATTATAAGACTATATAGTAAAGAATAGCTTAGTTTAGATAAATTATCTTAAGAATTTAGTAATAAAAATATAACTATATTATATAAAAAGTATTTAAATATAGAAATAATTTTTATAAGATTATTATAATAATTATTATAATATAAATTTACTTATTTTAAGATAAATAACCTATATTACTAGCAAAATAAATTTTATATAATTAATAAAATAGTTAGTATAATACTTTACTATATTTATTAAAAAGTATATACCTTTAACTTATAGGTATAAATAGAATCTCTACTTATACCTATATTAATATCTACTTATATACCTAATAAACCTATCTACTTATATTCTAAGTATACCTATAACCTAACCTATTTAGATAAGTACCTATAGGTATCTATGGCATGGGTAATTTGAAGCCTAGTAACACCTGGACCTTCGACTATAACCTCGACCTCGTCCGCAGGGCCGAAGCCCTCGGCTTCGAGCTCGCCTTCAGCCGCACGCAGTGGCTGCCTAAGGGCGGCTACGACGGCGAGGCCTCGCTCGACGCCTTCGTCGCCCTCGGCGCCATGGCCGCCGTCACGCGCTCCATCCTGCTCATCTCCACGATGCACGTGCTCTACGGCCCGCTGCACCCGCTGCACATCGCAAAGTACGGCGCCACGCTCGACCACGTCGCCAAGGGCCGCTGGGGCATCAACGTCGTGACGGGCCACCGCGCGGTCGAGCACGAGATGTTTGGGCGCCAGCGCATCGAGCACGACACGCGGTACGAGATGGCCGGGGAGCTGTTTGACGTTGTGAACAGTCTGTGGGGCGAGACGGAGAATCTGTCGTACAAGGGCAGGGTGTCGCCGTGGCAGCTGGAAAATGCGTGGATCACGCCCAAGCCGGAGTTTGGCAGGCCGATTTTGATCAACGCCACGGGGTCTCCTGCCGGGATTGAGTTTGCGGCGCAGTATTCTGATCTGATCTTCATCACGTCGCCTGGGACAGCGAATATCGAGAGCGCATTGGAGACGCTGCCGGCTCATATCGCGACGATCAGAGAGGCTGTCAAGTCCAAAGGGCGCGAGGTTAAGATCCTCATCAACCCCATCATTGTATCTCGAGATACACCTGAAGAGTCATGGGCGTACGCGCGGAGCATTGCCGAGGGCACGAAGGTGCAGACTGGCACGAAGAAGTTCGGCACCGCGAACGGCAACTACGACAGTGATGCTCACGCCTGGCGGGGACGCAAAGGTGAGCAGGAGAAGCAGGGTCTAAACATTGGAGGAAACATTGAGATTATCGGATCCCCGGAGCAGGTTGTAGAACAGCTCGAGGCATTGCACAAGATTGGGATTGACGGTGTTGTCGCGAATTTCTACGACTTTGCACCAGATTTAGGATACTTTGGGCAGAAGATATTGCCCCTGGTGAAGAAGGCAGGATTGCGGGTCGACTGAATAAATCAAGCCAGTCCAACATCAAATCTCTTGCTATTTCACCCGCTCTCAGAAACGCGGATCACTAAATATAGTGTCTTCGACCAGATCTCTAGCCCATGGACCAGGACTATCTTCAGTAATCGTAGAAACCCCGGCCCGAGTTCCAATCTGCTTCCGAGAGCAGTTATAACCTCAGCGTACAGAAGAAAGGAAAGTGACGATCTTGAACATCGGTATATATAGTCCATACTGGCCTTCCCGGCCCGAGATATCAAGATCCGCAGCCACCCGTCGGGAACCTCCAAATCGAGCAATCGCTGCGTTTCATTGTGATGCAAACCACCCTGTGAACCTCTCGCGACCCAAGCAGCTGGCAGAACAAAGTCCAGTCCGAATCCCTCGCAAAGCGCCACGCCGCCACACGCAGAAGCATCGTCCCAATAGCGCGGGCGATCCCCCGGCCCCATCTGCGTCATGTGGCTTGTTTGACAGATCGATCACACTTGGATCTTGACATGTTCAGAGTAGATCCCGCCCTTAGGCTCCTCTCTCTCGGTCGAGTCAGGTATTAAGAACCTTTTCGTCTGCACCGCAGCGCGAGAGACAGACGCAGTATCTTCAGGCCAGAATTCCAGAAAAGTGCTTCTCTGCCAAGTCTAGAACAGTTGATGTCCTGATGATAAGCTTTTTCGAGAAACTGTCTCTGTCGAAACCAAACGCCTGCGGGAATGAAGTGAGACAACACGCTGTGATACGGCGATAGCAGTGGGGAAGGGGAGGGGAGAGCCGGTCTTCCGTCCCTCGCGAAAGCGTAGACAAAATGCCAAGACCGAATTTGACGACATGCTCTAGGTTGGAAGCGGAAAGCCCTCCAAGGGCCTTGTTTCGGCGTTTGCTTCTACAAAACGGAACACCGGCGATTGCTTTGCTTCCCTCGCTTCTTGTGTTATTGGGTGGGTGCGAATCGGCGGCCCATTTGCGGGTGGGTGGTCCTGAACCAAATCGCCGGATCCGGAAGACACGACGCACAACTCCGGGCGAGACATCTACCGAACGCGTGCGGTGCGACCCAGAAAGCCCTTTGTAGCGCCAACTCTATCCAACGCCTTGCCCTTGCCTTTGCGGTCTGATATTACCCTTTGAGCGTGCCCCCTTCCTTGCTGCTTGCCAAGGGGTCCTTTTCCCTTCTCTTCCTCCTTCTTCCCCTTTCAATCTGATCTTCATTCCCGGGTGTGTTGATATTGTTTTCTTCGACGGCTACGAGGCCACAACCTCGCCAACACAAAACCACGCAGGAAAACGAAGGCAGGAAAAGCGAACCGACTTGGAGAGTCCCGTCACCCGAACGACGGGAACCACCACTCCCCAATGCCTTGCGCACGTCGGAGGTAGACACTTCACACGCCGCCGCCGCCGCCGCCCACGCCAATGTTGATCTGGAACGGCACGGGGCCGGTGAAGGACATGGAGGCGAACAGCACCGACGACGCCTCGTCAGCGGCACCGTGGGAGGGCACGCTGCCGCCCGGCTCGCTCGACAGCCGCTCCGACATGATCCTCGCGATCGGGATCGTCATGACCGTCGTCGCGGCCGTGTTCGTCGCGCTGCGGGTGTATGTGCGTGCGTTCATGATTAGGAAATGGGGGGCGGACGATACCCTGCTCGCGTCTGCTTTTGTAAGTGAGATGAGATTGGGAGGGTGGGGAGAAGAAGGTCTTTTAACGTCTGAGTGGAATGGGTAGATTGCTGTGGTTTTACACAACTCCATGTTGTGCGTAGGTAAGAGACTATCACCAATCCCCTGTTCGCTGTGGGCATCTCAACTAACACCGCAACATCAGCTACAAGATTCGGACTCGGGAAACACATATGGATGAACTCCATCAAGAACCTGATCAAAGGCCAAAAGGTACTTACCTCAAACAATACTCATCCAGCAACATCTCCAAGAAAGCATCTGACCCTCGTCAGATATCCCTCTTCGTCATCATCGTGTACCAGGTCGCCTTCGTCACCATCAAAATCGCCTTCCTCTTCCAATACCGCCGCGTCTTCCCGTACTCAAAAGTCGAGCTCCTGTGCAACATCGGCATCTGCTTCCTCGCCCTCTTCGGGATCCAGCTCCTGGTCTGCGCCGGCGTCAGCTTCGACCTCATCTACAAATACACCTTCTTCGACACGCCGATCAACGTCATGAGCTGGTGGATGGCCAACGCCTCGATACACCTCATCACCAACGTCCTCATCTTCATCATCCCGATCCCCTTTCTGGGCCGTCTGCAAATGACGAGGACCCAGAAGCTCGCCCTTATCGCCAGCTTCGCGCTCGGCCTCCTGTGAGATCCCCCCTTATTCTGCTATATATATGAAAGGAGGAAGGACTAACGCATCAACCCCAAAAGCACCTGCGCCATCTCCATCATCCGAATCGCGACCATCCCCAAATCCTACCTCTCCATGGACCAGACCTACAACCAAACCCCTACAATAATCTGGTCCATCACCGAGCTTTCCGTCGCGATAATCTGCTGCTGCATCCCCACCCTGCGGCCCCTCTCCCACCCGTCCCACTACTCCGCCAACACCACCGGCCCCCGCGAGTCCTTCATGAACCCCTTCCCGGCCCCTTCCGGCGCCGGCGCCCCGCGCATCAGCACCGCCAACACCGCCGACCGCGGCTCCTCCTCCATCAGCGGCGAATCCGACGTCGTCGTCATCCGCAAACCGCGTTCTAGCTTTTGGCACCGCAGCCGCAAACAAAGCGACAACTCGACCCTTAATGGCGACGTGGACGAGATCGAACCGGTGCCCGTGCTCGCGACAGTGATGCGCACGCCGACGATACCGGTGACGCTCGTCACGACGGACCCATCGTCGCCGGCAAGGGTGGAGATGCCAGTGCTGGAGATCAATGGGCTGCGGCGGCCGAGCGAGGCGACGGTCAGCAGCGGTGGCGGCGCGGCCGTATCGCGGCGAACGAGGAGTATGCGGAGCAGTATCGTCAGCGACGGAAGCCTAGGCGGTTTCGGCAGGGGACTAGGGAGGAATCTGAGTCTGAGGAGGCATATGAGTGTCGCGCTGACGGAAAGAGATTCGGATGACGATGTGTATTATTTTGGGGTTAGTGAGGAGGAGGTTGATCTGGAGTGCCCGACGCCGCTTAGTCCGCCACCGAAGAGTAGGCAGTCTATGTCGGAGAGTCGATGATGTTATTCTTATATCTTGTATTACTACCAAACATTTCACGAGCGGGGAATAGAGCGAAATGAATGCTTCGTCTTGAGTCGAAGTTATGAGTGCTGTCAGTTTTGATATAGCAGGCTTTCACCGTCAGGCGTAGATGTCGTTGCCATCATCTTGACAGCAGCCGATTTGGTCAGACATGATGATGAGTACGATTCACACGTTAAATTGATGACCTCAGCTCACCTCCAGTCTTTGGTCGTTCTCGCATTGACAGAAAGAGGCGCACTCGAGCCTCTCACGCGTACGATGACTGTTCAGTGAGTATTTCATAGCCTACAGAGCTCCTGTCATCATCAATGATTGGGCGACCTCTAACCCGGCTTCGCTGAGACCACCCGTCGTTGACCAAGCCCTCTAAGCAGATGCTTCAGGTCTTACTTGGGGGGAGATGGATGTTAACACGACGGAATCGGCCATCTGGATAAGTCGCAACACGGTGGTCGAGCGCCTTCCCATTCCTAATGATGGCTGGTTCCGAAGATCATGCCGGCAGGACTCTCTGAGCCGTTTCGAGATTTCTGATGGGCCCAGTGAGAACATCGGCCTTTCTCGTGGTCCAAGAGTGAGCCTCCAGCCCAAACTCATCCTCGAGAATATGACCCGCATCGAAGCTGGAAGATTCGGCGGCTTCATGGAGGCCACCCGCCGTAGACGACAAACAGACAGTCAACCACGAGCAGACCTCGCCACAGTCAACCGGACGGCGCGCGCTCCGACAGGTGGGTCCAGCAGACGGCCTCCCGTCGCCGACCGGGGAAAAACTTCCCACTGCCGGAGGGAACCCGCGGACGTTGACCCTCGAAATTGGCAATCTTGCCGGGTGGCTCATAGCCTATCAGCATGACGTCGCCGGGTTGTGTTCCTTTCACGGCACCCAACGGGAAAAAGAGGCTGAGCTCTTTAGTGAGCAAACTCAACAGCCTTTCATCGTGTGCTGCGGCACCTTCCCACATACCGAGAGCTCTTTCACCGTTCGTATGGCGTAGCGTCGGCGTCGAAAAATAAACGACGAGTAACCGACCACTGGCCACAATTGAGGCTGATGAGCCCAGCAGCGGAGGTAGAGAGCCTAGAACCAACCGTCCGTCTTTTTTGGAACAAAGCAGCACCATCAGACGGCTTGAAGTTGCCGGCTGGGCTGATCCTTTAGTGGACGACGGCGTAGGGAGCTTGGGCGGCGAATGCACGGATGAGCGCCTAATGGCCTGCTGTGCTGCAGGCTGTAGGCAGACGCCTATTGGACGTCAGCGCTAGTGTGGAAGGGGTAGCTCGCCGCCGACGGCATATGTGTGTTGTAAACGCAAGTTGGATTTCTCGCGTGCGTATACGACAAACTGCTTCTGGCGACTGTTGTTCGCTGTCGAGTGCGGTGCTCAAGTCGCAGCACAGCATTGAAGAGCAAGCATGGTGGTTGGACAACGTCCAGCAGGCCAGAACGACGGGGGAGTCCTGGAACCCAGGAGAACGGAAGCGACGGTGGAAGCCTCTCACGCAACATCTGGGGCGGTCTGGGAAGCTCCCAGTAAAGCCAGTGCTCTTTCGATCGCGTCTGAGCGAACGGTGGCCCCATTGAAATCGTTCAAGCTTTTTCGGACTTTGGGGCTGAGGCACCGAGTCTTCCTGGCTGGCTGGCAGTGGAAAAAAAAAGAAAAAAAAAAAAAAAAAAAAAAAAAAAAAAAGAGGGAGCTCCAGTCTCCAACTGTGGGCAAAAAGTGGTGAGCCAATGGCCGGGGAAGGGTCCACTTGACGGAACTGCCATGACCCAATTTGG